TTCAAAAGCATCGGTATTACTTCCGTTCAGTTACGTATTGCTTTCCATTCTTCTTTATATCTAATTCACAAGATCTATTTATACTTTTACTGACTAAAAAAGATAAACTTACCGGTTAATTGACAGTTTATTTAGGACATTTCAGTGTTAAACCCCTTTTTTACTGGTAAACACTAAATTCTAAATATTTGAAATTTTCCTTCAAAACATAGTTTGAATAGACGTCAAAGTCGGAATCAGCTGTTTATTTGTTGTTTGATATCATCTTTTCTGGGTCCAAAAACCTACTAAGGATAGGCGTTTACATCAAAGAATTTCACTGGAACTACTTTACTTTTCGATTAAAAAAAACTGTTCACCATTTATTTGAATTTTATAATGACACAAAAAGAATTTAAAAAAAAAACATAATACAAAACTAATAAAAATACTATTTTCTATTGTTTCTGGCTAAATTTTGATTTCTACTCGAAAAAAATACGGAAATATAGGCAATAAAATGAAACAAAGAACATCCAGACGATAATTTTTATTAAAATTTTCTAAACATCGAAAAATTCAGAAATACAAAAGGTACTCTATATAAACACATATATAACATGGTTAGAACCACACAGATTTGTGCGAGACATAGTATGAATTACTTTAAAAGCTTATTAAAAGCAACCCCTATTTTTTTTTATTTAAGTAAAGTTATACTTTAGACAAATATAGTAGTAGGCTGTTATATATCAAGTTTAATATTAATATGTCTTACTTTATCCACAAAGTAGATTATTTATACAGTACTTACTTAAAAAGAGTAATTTACTGAACTTTTCGGCATGCACTGTATATTTTTCCTTAACCTAATACACAGGTAAAATCAAAAGAAACAAAAATAAAAGAAAATATAGATTGAAAATGCATGTATTAATGAACTACTACATAATAAAATAACAAACAACAAAAAAGTAATAAAAATAATATAAAAAGTTACAAAAATTAAAATCCTAGAAGTATGCTGGTAATATTCTATATATACACACGAAAATATCATTTTTCAAATTGAAATACTACATTAGGTAGTTTTATATATACATAAGAACTAGAAAATAATAAATACAAAGTTATTACTATTTTAATTTTCATGAACTTCATACCCTGGATTTAATCTGATTTATCATATATACTTTACATTTTTTTACTATATATTATTTACTATATTAAGAAATATCTATGAAATATTTTTCATAAACATTATAAACATTATACCTAAAAAGCTTAACAATAATTATATATCAACAATATATGATTCCGTACATTCACAGGGATATAGACGTAGAAAAAATGTAGAAAAAAACATTTTAATTTCAGTGAATTCGACATACAGTGTGTCCCAAATTATAGAGCGATCCATCAAATTTCAGACACCCTGTACAAAGTTCGTATCGCTCGAAATAAAATACAAGAAAGATAGAAGAAAGTTTTTTTTATATCTTCTTACATATACAGGGTGTTTTTGAACAAGCGTCCGATTTTTAACAGGGTACTTAGCAACTTAAGACCACGCATTAAAATGGTTTTTATTTTTTTACGCGAAACCCGTGAACCTCACAAAAAATACTAAGAGACATAATTTGTTCTCAAATAAATGAGGATTATAAAAATGAATTTTATTTTAAGAAAAATGTGTCAGACAATTTTTTTCTTAAAAAATATCCAGTAGATACCCCGTCCGAACGGCACTGGTAAAAATTTGAGAAAGTATTTTTCATAGAAAGATGCCCCTTAATTGTGAAAAGACTTGCAAATTTCATAAAAATATCTGGAGTGGCTCCCCAGAAGATATTAAAAAAAATTCTCAACACTTTTCATACCCTGTATCTCAAAAACGAAGCATTTTAGAATATATGCTTATATAAACAAAAATACTTGAAAAATCACCCAGTAAAATATTGGACACTTGTTCAGAAATACCCTGTATAGTTCTTGTTAGTAAACACCACTGAGCAAACTATAGAAGATAATATATTCATAAAAATAAAATACCTAAACTATAGTTCATTAATAAGTTTCTTAGAAAAAATATTTTCAGTAAAAAATCCCACTTCTGATAAAAATTACCCAAAAAATCGCAAAAATTATTAATGATACGACACTGAATCGACTGAAACTTGATCCGTTTAAAAACATACCATTGTTGTTTTTTCTGATAGTAAAGTGGTTAATATATTTATTTTATGAACTATACATATAAAACATTTAACATTAAGAGATTATTATTACTAAATATGTAGAAAAAATTGTTCAATACCCCGAAAAAACGTACATTTTCCAGCAAGTATAGTGGCATTGACTCTATAATATTATGTTAGCGAAAAAAATATACATATATAGAAGACTAGAAACGATATTGCTCTGGTGAGTTTTACTCAAAAATAATTTTTGAAAAATTAAAAAGAGCCTTAAAAAACATAAAAAATATTAATAAATTTTGTGCGTTAACCATGTGTAATATTCAGGTATCTGTAAATTTTAATTACTAGCAAGCTTTTTCCAAAAAAGACAAACTTTTTATATAATTTTTTAAAATATTTTAATATCAAGTAACATTTTGCTTTTAGAAACCCAGCTGCCAAAAAATAGTTACACAGCACGAATACAGAATGTCCCATGTAAAAATGCACGCTACAACTACAAAAATGGTTAAATTAGGGAACAGTTTTTTTGGGGAAACCCCAAATTTTCACGATTTTTTTTATTTATTTTTTTTCTCACTCAATTTGAAAATATACGACAATACAAACTTCACATTCCTATTGCAATTTTCGCCGCTCTACAAGACGGTGTTGCCAGATTTCCAATCGGACGTTTCGTTCCCGAAATATCATCATCAACTCTATTTTTTCAAATACGGACCTGCATTTTTTATTCGATTTTTTCGAAGCCTAGAACCTTCCAAATACAACGATGTATTACACTTACCCCCCAAACCCCCAAAAAATGTATAATAATAATATCCGATTAAAAATATGACAACACCCGCTTGTAGAGCTGCAAAAATAACAAAAGAACGTAAAATATTTATTGTAGTATCTTTTTAAATATATTCAGGAAAAAATAAAAAATAAATCTTTAGAAAAAAATCGGGGTTTCTCCGAAAATATCCGGATTTTTTTAGATTCGAAACTATCACTTTGTAGAATTCAAAACGACACAACTTTTATCTATTTGAATCATCCCTGTATCTCTCCTGGTTTACGAGATACACCCCGTAGCGTGTATTCTTCTATTGGGACACCCTGTATATTAATAAATAGAAACCGTCCTGTATTTTCTTGTTGCAGTTTAAACCAAACCCCTTAATAAAGATAGGTTGCTTGGAGTAGTACACCGTTTTATAACATACGATCGAAAAAAAGGCGTCAAAGACGGCTGACAATCGAAAATAATTTTGGCGAGGTCAAGCCCTATACAGGTTGTTCCTTAATGACATACTAATATTTAAGGTGGTGATTTTTGGACCTATTCTAAGAAAAAAACTTCATATGAATATATGTCCTAAACATCTTAACTTTTTAGATACAGGGTAGTAAAATTTTGGGAACAACCCTGTATAGACGTCATTTACCTGGCCCGTAGTACTCTCCAAAATTATCATAATCATCGTTCCCCAGCTGTCTGTGACGCCTTTTTTCGATCAAACGGTCCAGAAACTTAAACAAACTAAAACAACCGAAATTATTGCCCCAAAAAGAATTATATCCCTCTTCTCTACTCTATGGATTTGCTCATGAAATCGATAAATCTTCTGGCGTACTGCTCGGGATCGCAAGTACTGATCCCGTCGACGTTGGATCCGTATTTGACAGTTTTGGCGGCTTTGGCGGCCTGTTTTTTCACACCGTAATGCGTCAGCACGGTCTATGATGGCAACGAAGTATATCTCTTTGACGGGAGCAGTCTCGCAAGACGGAATGGCGTATATGTCTAGCTCGGGGATTATACCACCTAGAAAAAACGTATCGAAAATAATTTCTAGAGGTACCTAATTAAAGAGGCGTTCATTGATTACGTGAGGGAATAGTGCTTGACACCCATAACACCCTCAAAAAGGAAATTTCACAGCGAGAAACACCTCAATGTAGTGTTGAGCAATAAAAAGAATAGTAACAGATACAACATACCATAAGGTGGTATAAACACTCAGATGCAAAAAATCTTAACGGAATTTTTTTTTCAAGATTAAAGAGTTATATTTTTTTCTTTTAGCTCTATTTTCCTGATTTTTTTAGCAAACTGTATATAAATCTATCAACTTTATTCATAAACTGGATGGCACATGTCCATCAGCAGTTTACCAGAAGCTGAAGAAGTATGATTCTTGGTTTGGAGGGTATAAATTCATTATTAAATAACATTATTATCATCAAAAGAATATATTAAAACCGAATTATACTGAGAAAACTGTCCTGGACTGGGTCCTCTTGAACTGGATGGCACATGTCCATCAGCAGTTTACCAGAAGGTGAAGAAGTATGATTCTTGGATTGGAGGGTATAAATTCATTATTAAATAACATTATTATCATCAAAAGAATATATTAAAACCGAATTATACTGAGAAAACTGTTCTGGACTGGGTCCTCTTGAACTGGATGGCACATGTCCATCAGCAGTTTACCAGAAGCTGAAGAAGTATGATTCTTGGATTGGCGGGTATAAATTCATTATTAAATAACATTATTATCATCAAAAGAATATTTTAAAACCGAATTATACTGAGAAAACTGTTCTGACTGGGTCCTCTTGAACTGGATGGCACATGTCCATCAGCAGTTTACCAGAAGCTGAAGAGTATGATTCTTGGATTGAGGAATGGGTATAAATTCATGATTAAATAACACTATCATCAAAAGAATATTTTAAACCGAATTATACTGAGAAAACTGTCGTGGACTGGGTCCTCTTGAACTGATGGCACATGTCCATCAGCAGTATTTACTGTGAAGCTGAAGAAGTAGGATTCTTGGATTGGAGGTATAAATTCATTATTAAACAACATTATTATCATCAAAAGAATATTTTAAAACCGAATTATACTGAGAGAAAACTGTCCTGACTGGGCCTCTCTTGAACTGGATGGCATATGTCCATCCTCCAGTTCTACCAGAAGCTGAAGAAATATGATTCTTGGATTGAGGGTATAAATTCATTATTAAATAACATTATTATCACTCAAAAAGAATATATTAAAACCGAATTATACTGAGAAAACTGTCCTGACTGGGTCCTTCTTGAACTGGATGGCACATGTCCATCAGCACTTGGATAGAAGCTGGAGAAGTATGATTCTTGGATTGGAGGGTATAAATTCATTATAAAATAACATTATTATCATCAAAAGAATATATTCAAACCGAATTATACTGAGAAAACTGTTCTGGACTGGGTCCTCTTGAACTGGATGGCACATGTCCATTAGCAGTTTACCAGAAGCTGAAGAAGTATGATTCTTGGATTGGAAGGTATAAATTCATTATTAAATAACATTATTATCATCAAAAGAATATTTTAAAACCGAATTATACTGAGAAAACTGTCGTGGACTGGGTCCTCTTGAACTGGATGGCACATGTCCATCAGCAGTTTACCAGAAGCTGAAGAAGTAGGATTCTTGGATTGGAGGGTATAAATTCATTATTAAATAACATTATTATCATCAAAAGAATATATTCAAACCGAATTATACTGAGAAAACTGTTCTGGACTGGGTCCTCTTGAACTGGATGGCACATGTCCATCAGCAGTTTACCAGAAGCTGAAGAAGTATGATTCTTGGATTGGCGGGTATAAATTCATTATTAAATAACATTATTATCATCAAAAGAATATATTCAAACCGAATTATACTGAGAAAACTGTTCTGGACTGGGTCCTCTTGAACTGGATGGCACATGTCCATCAGCAGTTTACCAGAAGCTGAAGAAGTATGATTCTTGGATTGGAGGGTATAAATTCATTATTAAATAACATTATTATCATCAAAAGAATATTTTAAAACCGAATTATACTGAGAAAACTGTCGTGGACTGGGTCCTCTTGAACTGGATGGCACATGTCCATCAGCAGTTTACCAGAAGCTGAAGAAGTATAATTCTTGGATTGGAGGGTATAAATTCATTATTAAATAACATTATTATCATCAAAAGAATATATTAAAACCGAATTATACTGAGAAAACTGTTCTGGACTGGGTCCTCTTGAACTGGATGGCACATGTCAATCAGCAGTTTACCAGAAGCTGAAGAAGTATGATTCTTGGATTGGAGGGTATAAATTCATTATTAAATAACATTATTATCATCAAAAGAATATATTAAAACCGAATTATCCTGAGAAAACTGTCCTGGACTGGGTCCTCTTGAACTGGATGGCACATGTCCATCAGCAGTTTACCAGAAGCTGAAGAAGTATAATTCTTGGATTGGAGGGTATAAATTCATTATTAAATAACATTATTATCATCAAAAGAATATATTAAAACCGAATTATACTGAGAAACTGTTCTGACTGGGTCCTTTCTTGAACTGGATGGCACATGTCCATCAGCAGTTTACCAGAAGCTGAAGATGATTCTTGGATTGGAGGGTATAAATTCATTATTAAATAACATTATTAACATCAAAAAAAAGAATATATTAAAACCGAATTATACTGAGAAAACTGTTCTGGACTGGGTCCTCTTGAACTGATGGGCAATGTCCATCAGCAGTTTACCATTAGCTGAAGAAGTATGATTCTTGGATTGGAGGGTATAAATTCATTATTAAATAACATTATTATTATCAAAAGAATATATTAAAACCGAATTATAATGAGAAAAATGTCCTGGATTAGGTCCTCTTGAACTGGATGGCATATGTCCATCAGCAGTTTACCATTAGCTGAAGAAGTATGATTCTTGAATTGGAGGGTATAAATTCATTATTAAATAACATTTTTATCATCAAAAGAATATATTAAAGCCGAATTATAATGAGAAAAATGTCCTGGACTAGGTCCTCTTGAACTGGAGGGCATATGTCCATCAGCAGTTTACCATTAGCTGAAGAAGTATGATTCTTGGATTGGAGGGTATAAATTCATTATTAAATAACATTATTATCATCAAAAGAATATATTAAAATCGAATTATAATGAGAAAAATGTCCTGGACTAGGTCCCCTTGAACTGGACGGCATATTTCCATAAGCAGTTTACCATTAGCCGAAGAAGTATGATTCTTGGATTGGAGGGTATAAATTCATTATTAAATAACATTATTATCATCACAAGAATATATTAAAACCGAATTATAATGAGAAAAATGTCCTGGACTAGGTCCTCTTGAACTGGATGGCATATATCCATCAGCAGTTTACCATTAGCTGAAGAAGTATGATTCTTGGAGTGGAGGGTATAAATTCATTATTAAATAACATTATTATCATCAAAAGAATATATTTAAACCGAATTATAATGAGTAAAAATGTCCTGGACTAGGTCCTCTTGAACTGATGGCACATGTCCATCAGCAGTTTACCAGAAGCTGAAGAAGTATGATTCTTGGATTGGAGGGTATAAATTCATTATTAAATAACATTATTATCATCAAAAGAATATATTAAAATCGAATTATACTGAGAAAACTGTCCTGGACTGGGTCCTCTTGAACTGGATGGCACATGTCCATCAGCAGTTTACCAGAAGCTGAAGAAGTATGATTCTTGGATTGGAGGGTATAAATTCATTATTAAATAACATTATTATCATCAAAAGAATATATTAAAACCGAATTATACTGAGAAAACTGTTCTGGACTGGGTCCTCTTGAACTGGATGGCATATGTCCATCAGCAGTTTACCAGAAGGTGAAGAAGTATGATTCTTGGATTGGAGGGTATAAATTCATTATTAAATAACATTATTATCATCAAAAGAATATATTAAAACCGAATTATACTGAGAAAACTGTCCTGGACTGGGTCCTTTTGAACTGGATGGCCTTTGTCCATCAGCAGTTTACCAGAAGCTGAAGAAATATGATTCTTGGATTGGAGGGTATAAATTCATTATTAAATAACATTATCATCATCAAAAGAATATATTAAAACCGAATTATATTGAGAAAACTGTTCTGGACTGGGTCCTTTTGAACTGGATGGCATTTGTCCATCAGCAGATTGGAGGGTATAAATTCACTATTAAATAACATTATTATTATCATCAAAAGAATATACTAAAACCGAATTTTAATTTTCGACGAAAAATTTTTCTCTTGCGTTTTTTTTTGGAATGGAGTCTAACTAGTCTCTGTAAAACCGTCTCAGATACTAGCTCTTGTCAAAGCCCTGAGACTGTATGACGAGTTATAAGTTAAATAACTGAAGAAAAGGTCAAACACAATAGTCAAAAAATTCCTCACATAATTAATGAACATCCCCTTATCTATGATTTTAACTAAAAATAATGAACTGATCAACTCAATCTTTCTCACCTGAGACCGTACTTATGTACTGGTAAATTTTGCTAAATTTACCTTCATACTGTAGGCTGCTCTGTTCCCTCAAATATTGAGGCAAGGCGTTGGGCGAATCCGGAGGGGTATTGAATCCGATCTGGCCTCTGTTCTCCAAGCCGGATCCGGATTCACTCTCGTCTGAATCCTGTGGATTCTCCGCTTCAAGTTCGCGTTGTCTTTGCAGTTCTTGCTCGCCTCGCTCTACTTCGTGGATACCTGTTTAATCACGTTTAAATTGTGACGCTTTTTGATACTGTAAAGTTCGAAATTTTCCCTAGATCTGGGGAATTTTTTTAGACCTGGCTACTATGCGATATTTTCCGTTAATGTCCACCAACAGCGGATTTTTGCTGCGTTGACAAATTTGATAGATATAGAAACCATTAATACTTTTTTATCAAGAAATAGCTGAAATTGCGACGCTCAAAAATCCTATTAACTGCGAAATTTTCACTAGATTTAGGGAAAATTTCTTAGACCTGGCAACTACGGTAGATCACCTGTATATGCGTATGTCATTTTATAAGAAATAAATTGACATTTTAGGCTGAAAAAAAAACATATTCCCTAGATATACCAAGATTTCTCTAGATCTAAACCAAACTTTCTAGACCTGGCAACAATGTGTTATTAGACCTGAACGTCCACTTATAGTGGATTTTTACTGCCTTGACAAATTTAATAGATATAGGAACCATTGTTTTTATCAAGATATTAACTGAACTAGATAGAATCACAGATCCTGTAAACATCAAAATTTTCCCTATATTTAGGGAAATTTTCCGACACTTGGCAACTATGCTTCTTTTTAATTTTGCTGCGTTGACGATTCTAATAAAATATGGGAACCACTAAATTTTTTTATCAAGATAAACATTAAAATCTTTAAATCTAGGGAAAATTTGCTAGACGTAGAAACCGTGCGTTATTAGACGTAAATGCCTCGACTTGCTGCGTTGACAAATTTCATATGAACATAAACCATTCAAAATTATAACTGATATATTATGTGTAAATTATTTTGCAAACATTTCTTTTAGTAAAAACAAATAAACTCTTTGTGACAATTATTGTCGTCATTGTAAACGTCATCTGTCAACTGTCGCTTCTCGAGCGGAAATGACTCTATTATTTACGTTAATACATACCAAGCAACAGACTGTAGTCCATCAGATGTAATCTGGTTAGGAAATCGACATCGGCTGTCAATGTTTCCATCAGTTTAGACCTGGCCTCTTCCCCTATAAAGACCTGTCAAATGTCAACGTCAATTTCATTGTTTTTATTATTTTTTTTATATTCACCTTCATTTGCTCATTAACAAAATCATTGTCTTTCAATGTGGGTAAGTCTTTCTCTCTTTCTTTTTCTGAAGCTTCTCTGTCGACAGTGGAGCCTAAAAAAATAAAATACAATAATCAAAATACCGGGGAGAAAAAAAAAGAAGAAAATTTTTACCTTTCAAATCGAATTTTCGGTGAATCCCTAAGTGATTGGAAAAAACGTTACGCATGACAACAATGTAGTGTTCCCCGTTGTCAACCGTCAGCCTGTACATGCCTAGATACTGTGGCAACAATGTTTTGCCATGTCTTTCAACGATATACTATTATAGAAATAAAATATAATATGAAATTTATAATAATTATATTTATACGGGGTGTTAATAAATAACTGCCTTTTGTTGAAGTATTTTTAAGCAAAAAAGTTCATATAAACACTTATTCTAAAGTGCTTAGTTTTCGAGATACAGGGTGCCAAATTTTGGAAAAAAATGTTTATTTTAAATATCTTCAAAGTGGTTCCAGATATTTTTATGAAATTTCGTAAAGTTTTTTCACCATTAAAGAGCACGTTTCGATAAAGAAAACATTTCTGAAATTTCCACCAGTGTCGTTCGTGAGGGGTACCGACCAGATACTTTTAAAGAAAAAAATGGTACGCCACTGGTTTTTCGTAAAATAAAAAAAAATTTAAAAATTATTTTTAGAATCTCCGTTCATTTTAGAACAAATTATATCTCTTGGTATTTTTCTGTCAGACGTGCCGTTTTTGCGTTAAAAAATAAAAACCATTTTAATACACGGCAAAATTTTTACCTTAAAAATACGTAAAAAATCACCCTGTAAAATATCGGACGCTTATTCAGACACACCCTGTATATTATAGAGTTTCTTACCGGGTGATAATGCTTTAGGAAGCTGTGCATTCGTTCCACTTCTTCCGATGTAAGAGTTTTTATAATAAAAATTTTGTCGTAGCTTTGGTAGAATTTTGCCCCACTTTTGCCAGCTGAATCGTCGGGCAGTGGTTGAGACCTAATGAAAAAAATCAGAGTAAAAAAAACTGCAAAAAAAATAATTAATGTATACAGTGTGGCACCCCTCATTTTGTATTGAAATGAATTTTTTCAGAGCATATGATGGTTAATTTAAAGATTTTTTTTTTAAATTTAGAGAGTTCTACAGGGTGTCCTCAAAAAAAGTTAGCCTATTAAGAGAAGGGAAACATCATGAGCCACTTATAGCTAATTTTTGTAACAAAATTATAGGTTTACATATCTAGTTGTTATTCTGCTATAAATAAAATGTTAGATACTGAAATACTGTTAAATATTTCCTTTAATTTTTGTTAAATTAACGAACACCTAGATTTTATCAAATAATAAAGATCTACTGACACTAAGTAATAAAAATGAAAATATCTAGGAAAATCTTTGTCTGGGGTGTAGACAACCTTAATAGTATTTTGAAGAGGTATGCATTCTCCATTGAATAACGAAATAATATACCGGGCCTTCAATTTAAAATAACAAAGTAACTTGCTTTTAAATGTTACCAATGTTCAATATTCATTTTGTCTCACCCTGTATAATATTTCGAGTAAGATTTTAATTCGGTTTAACGAACAATGGTTATTTTAAGTAAACATCAGGCTATACACGGTAATTTCCAATTTTGGTAGCTATTATTGAAATTTAAAATTTATTAATTTTTTCACAAAATGTCAAACCTTTATTTTTTGTCTAGAATGCGAAAATCGATTAATATAAGGGTGTTCCATAAGAAAAAACACAACTTTGATGTGTAACTTTTTTTGGGGACACCCTATAGAACTCTGTATATTTTTAAAAGATGCCCTAAATTAACCTGTACAAGCCCACAAAATCGCATTTCAATAAAAACTGTCATTCTTCTTGGAGGCTCTGTGTTGTATGAGAAGCTGTACTAAGAAGTCTATTTTTAAATTTAAAAATTCATAATAACACTTAACTATCTGACTCATACATCAACCGTTCATAATTATAACTTTATCAGTTATATTTATAGATAAACATTTAAATAACTGATAAAAATTGCTCATGTACTTGGTTGGTTTATGTAAACATGGTTATACACACATACAGGATACATCAAATGCTATAAATACTTTTTATACTAAATTATTTACCTTGTTAGTGATTCTTTATAATCCAGATCATCTATGCCAAACCTTTCTCGGATATTCCGAAATACCATAGGGCAGTATTCTTTTACTTTGAAGTGTGACGGTAGATTCTCCCTAGAAATTCAGATTTATTGTTATATTAAGTTTGAAATACAGATAGATACAGTATCAAACTCATAATAAAAAAAAAACTAGTAAAAATAGTGTATATTACTTACTTATTGAATAGGTGGTTGTCAATCTTTATTTTAGAATACGCTCTGAAATCGTCTGGCAGAAGCATCACCGGAATTGTAACATGCATTAAGTTCATTAATCTGAAAAAATATACATCTATAGTTATAAATTCCTATACCTATAAGCCAGGGTGATGTTTGTTTACAACTATTAACATGAATAACAACACTGTGCACACTTACTGTATGGTTGATACCCCACATAAAAAACACTCAGGAACGGTTCGTTGGCTCTGAACAACTTAACTTTCTGGTGTTTCACTCGAAAATGTTTCTTTTAAGCTTGACTGACCGCTGGAACTCATGTTGTTGACACTTTATTTTTTTGCGACACAATTTAAAAAAAGAACTGGTGAAGTTCTCGATGTTATGCCATCGTAATAACGTGGGAGCTTACTGTAACAATTTACATTTTACAGATGTTTAGTCACTGCTGTTTAAGTCTGTTGATAATGCACAAATAATCGGAAATTATTAAAAATTTGCTGACAATTTACGGAAACACACCTTCATTGATTAGGTTTCGGCTGTCACCAGCTGTCATCGACCGGTTCCGAAGATAAACGACCATTTGCAAAACAAGAAATCATATTATTCATTTTGATATGATTGTTTTAAAATGTTTGCTTCAAATATTACCTATTTACCATAAAACACTTAGAAAAAGGTTACTAAATGTGGAAAAAACATTACAAAATACTAAATTCTATGTTTTTTTTACTCAAAACCTGTTTTTTAGAGACCTAAATTATTTAATATATGATCTACATGACCTTGAGCGTAGATTTGTTTTCTCTATGGATTTCCGTAGTTGTCAAAGTCAAAATAGAACGTTAACCACACTTTATTTTTCACTTTCCGCATTGAAATTTCAAAATTTTCCGTGAAAATTCAGTAAAATTAAGAAAATGGTATTATCTGAGGGAGTAAAGCAACGTCTGTCTATTGTAATTGAGTTTGGAAAGACGGTTTTTCATTATGCCTTCATCCCTACAGTTCTGTATTTAGGTAGGTGAATTTTACAGGCCTGTGTTATCAGTTTTGTAATTAAAAATATATTCTTTTAGGTTTTAAAAAGGGAGCTGACCCCGGTATGCCCGAGATATCCGTAACAAAGTAAGTATTTTACTTAATTCAATTACTGACTTGTTAACATTTTGCATTACCTTGCAGCTTGTTATGGTGAAGAATACAAAGAACGAATAAGTTAGGAACCTGATTAGTATGAAGAGAAGAGAGCCAGACCTTTGTATTTTACGTTATTATTTAATGCAGTAACCTTTATTTATAAAAATATACAACATTTAACACTTACATCAGAGATTTCTTCAGTTATTTTACACCTTAAGAGTTCCTATCTAAACAAACATAAAATAAATGAGTCCTACGTGTAATTATATGGATGGTTGACTAGAGTATATGTAACAATACAAAAATTTAATACACAACCTTAATATTACTTGATAAAATCTTTGGAAAAATTCACTAAAAAATATTAAACAAGTATGATCTTAAGTGCATGTTGTAACCTCATCGAA